TCTGTTCTTACTGTTCTTGTTCTCGTCTCTGTTGTTCTTTGTTATCTCTGTAGTTGGTCTCGTCTGTTCTTGCTATTTCTTGTTCTCGCCTCTGTTGTTCTTTGTTATCTCTGTAAGTTGGTCTCATCTCTAATTCTTTTCTTCTTGTTCTCGCCTCTGTTCTTGTTGCATCCTGTAGTTGGTCTCATCTCTGTTCTTACTATTTCTTGTTCTCGTCTCTGTTGTTCTTTGTTATCTCTTAGTTGGTCTCGTCTCTATTCTTGCTGTTCTTGTTCTCGTCTCTGTTGTTCTTTGTTATCTCTGTAGTTGGTCTCGTCTCTGTTCTTGCTGTTCTTGTTCTCGCCTCTGTTTGTTCTTTGGTCTCGTCTCTCCATTCTCATCTATTTCTCTGTTTGGTCTCGTCTCTGTTCTTGCTTCTTATTTCTTTCGCCTCTGTTGTTCTTTGTTATCTCTGGAGTTGGGTCTCGTCTCTGTTCTTGTTTCTTGTTCTCGCCTCTGTTGTTCTTTGTTGCATCTCTGCTTAGTTGGTCTCGTCTCTGTTCATTACTGTTCTTTGTTTCTCGCCTCTATTTACATTTCTTTGTTATCTCTGTAGTTGGTCGTCTCTGTTCTTGCTGTTCTTGTTCTCGCCTCTGTTTGATATTTTGTTGTCTCTGGGTTGGTCGTCTCTGTTCTTGCTGTTCTTGTTCTCGTCTCTGTTCTTTATTATCTCCTGTAGATTGGTCTCGTCTCTGTTCACTGTTCTTGTTCTCGTCTCTGTTGTTCTTTGTTATCTCTGTGGTTAGTCGTCTCTGTTCTTGCTGTTCTTGATATAAATCTCTGTTGTTCTTTGTTATCTCTGTAGTTGGTCTCGTCTCTGTTCTTACTGTTCTTGTTCTCGCCTCTGTTGTTGTTCTTTGTTATCTCTGTAGTTGGTCTCGTCTCTGTTCTTACTGTTCTTGTTCTCGCCTCTGTTGTTCTTGTTATCTCTAGCAGATTGGTCTCGTCTCTGTTCTTGCTGTTCTGTTCTCGTCTCTGTTGTTTCTTTGTTATCTCAGTGGTTGGTCTCGTCTCTGTTCTTTACTGTTCTTGTTCTCGCCTCTGTTGTTCTTTATTTATCTCTGCCGTTAAGTCTCGTTTCTGTTCTTGCTGTTCTTGTTCTCGTCTCTGTTGTTCTTTGTTATCTCTGTAGTTGGTCTCGTCTCTGTTCTTACTGTTCTCGCCTCCTGTTGTTCTTTATTTGCTCTCTGTAGTTGGTCTCGTCTCTGTTCTTACTGTTTCTTGTTCTCGCTCTGTTGTTCTTTGTTATCTCTTCTTAGTTATTCTCGTCTCTGTTACACTGTTCTTGTTCTCGCCTCTGTTGTTCTTTGTTATCTCTATGGTTGGTCTCGTCTCTGTTCTTGCTGTTCTTGTTCTCGTCTCTGTTGTTCTTTATTTATCCTCTGTGAAAGTTGAGGGTCTCGTCTCTGTTCTTACTGTTCTTGTTCTCGCCTCTGTTGTTCTTTGTTATCTCTGTAGTTGGTCTCGTCTCTGTTCTTTGCTGTTCTTGTTCTCGTCTCTGTTGTTCCTTTGTTATCTCTGTAGTTGGTCTCGTCTCTGTTCTTACTGTTCTTGTTCTCGCCTCTGTTTGTTCTTTTGTTATCTCTGTAGTTGGTCTCGTCTCTGTTCTTACTGTTTTGCGTTCGCCTCATTTGTTCTTCTGTTATCTCTGGGTTGGTCTCGTCTCTGTTCTTGCTGTTCTTGTTCTTTCGCCTCTGTTGTTCTTTGTTATCTCTGTAGATTGGTCTCGTCTCTGTTCTTACTGTTCTTGTTCTCGCCTCTGTTATTTCTTTGTTATCTCTGTAGTTAGTATGCGTCTCTGTTCTTTTCTTCTTGTTCTCGCCTCTGTTGTTCTTTGTTGCTCTGCAGTTGATAATCCTCCTGTTCTTACTGTTCTTGTTCTCGCCTCTGTTGTTCTTTATTGCTCTCTGTAGTTGGTCTCGTCTCTGTTCTTACTGTTCTTGTTCTCGCCTCTGTTGTTCTTTGTTATCTCTGTAGTTGGTCTCGTCTCTGTTCTTACTGTTCTTGTTCTCGCCTCTGTTCTTTGTTATCTCTGTAGTTGGTCTCGTCTCTGTTCTTGCTATTCTTGTTCTCGCCTCTGTTGTTCTTCGTATCTCTGTAGTTGGTCTCGTCTCTGTTCTTGCTGTTCTTGTTCTCGCCTCTGTTGTTCTTTGTTGTCTCAGGTTGGTCTTCGTCTCTGTTCTTGCTGTTCTTGTTCTCTCGTCTCTGTTGATGCTTTGTTATCTCTGTAGTTGGTCTCGTCTCTGTTCTTACTGTTCTTGTTCTACGTCTCTGTTGTTCTTTGTTATCTCTCTGTAGTTGGTCTCGTCTCTGTTCTTACTGTTCTTGTTCTCGTCTCTGTTGTTCTTTGTTATCTCTCTGTAGTTGGTCTCATCTCTGTTCTTACTGTTCTTGTTCTCGTCTCTGTTGTTCTTTATTGTATCTCTCTGTAGTTGGTCGTCTCTGTTCTTACTATTTCTTGTTTCTCGTCTCTATTTGTTCTTTGTTATCTCAGTAGTTGGTCTCGTCTGTTCTTTTCATTCTTGTTCTCGCCTCTGTTGTTCTTTGTTATCTCTTAACAGATTGGTCTCGTCTCTGTTCTTGCTGTTCTTGTTCTCGCCTCTTTGTTGTTCTTTGTTATCTCTGTAGTTGGGTCTCATCTCTGTTTCTTACTGTTCTTGTTCTCGCCTCTGTTGTTCTTTATTTATCTCTGTAGTTGGTCTCGTCTCTGTTCTTGCTGTTCTTGTTCTGTCTCTGTTGTTTCTTTATTTATCTCTGTAGTTGGTCTCGTCTCTATTCTTACTGTTCTTGTTTCTCGTCTCTGTTGTTCTTTGTTATCTCTGTAGTTGGTCGTCTCTATTTCTTACTGTTCTTGTTTCTCGTCTCTGTTGTTCTTTGGTATCTCTTAGTTGGTCTCGTCTCTGTTCTTGCTGTTCTTGTTCTCATCTCTGTTGTTCTTTGTTATCTCTGTAGTTGGTCTCGTCTCTGACTCTTGCCTTTGTTCTCGTCTCTATTTGTTCTTTATCTCTGTAGTTGGTCTCGTCTCTGTTCTTGCTGTTCTGTTCTCGTCTCTGTTTGTTCTTTGTTATCTCAGTAGTTGGTCTCGTCTCTGTTCTTACTGTTCTTGTTCTACTCGCCTCTGTTGTTCTTTATCTCTGTAGTTGGTCTCGTCTCTGTTCTTACTGTTCTTGTTCTCGTCTCTGTTGTTCTTTGTTATCTCTGTAGTTGGCGGTCTCGTCTCTGTTCTTACTGTTCTTGTTCTCGTCTCTGTTGTTCTTTTGTTATCTCCAATGCGTTGGTCTCGTCTCTGTTCTTGCTGTTCTTGTTCTCGTCTCTGTTGTTCTGTTATCTCTGTAGTTGGTCTCGTCTCTGTTCTTACTGTTCTTGTTCTCGTCTCTGTTGTTCTTTGTTATCTCTGTAGTTGGTCTCGTCTCTGTTCTTGCTGTTCTTGTTCTCCTTATAAACATTATTTATTATCTCTGTAGTTGGTCCTAATCTATTTCTTCCTGTTCTTATTCTCGCCTCTGTTGTTCTTTGTTATCTCTGTAGTTGGTCTCGTCTCTGTTCTTGCTGTTCTTGTTCTCGCCTCTGTTGTTCTTTGTTATCTCTGTAGTTGGTCTCGTCTCTGTTCTTGCTGTTCTTGTTCTCGCCTCTGTTGTTCTTTGTTATCTCTGTGGGTGGGTCTCGTCTCTGTTCTTACTGTTCTTGTTCTACTTTCTGTTGTTCTTTGTTATCTCTGTAGTTGGTCTCGTCTTTCTGTTCTTGCTGTTCTTGTTCTCGTCTCTGTTGTTCTTTGTTATCTCTAATAGTTAGGTCTCGTCTCTGTTCTTACTGTTCTTGTTCTCGCCTCTATTTGTTCTTTGTTATCTCTGGTTGGTCGCTGTTCTTGTTCTCGCCTCTGTTGTTCTTTGGTCTCTCTCTCTTCTTTTTCTCTGTTTGGTCTCGTCTCTGTTCTTGCTTCTTTTTCTTCGCCTCTGTTGTTCTTTGTTATCTCTGGAGTTGGTCTCGTCTCTGTTCTTGTTTCTTGTTCTCGCCTCTGTTGTTCTTTGTTATCTCTGTAGTTGGTCTCGTCTCTGTTCTTACTGTTCTTGTTCTCGCCTCTATTGTTCTTTGTTATCTCTGTAGTTGGTCGTCTCTGTTCTTGCTGTTCTTGTTCTCGCCTCTGTTTGTTTTTTGTTATCTCTGGGTTGGTCGTCTCTGTTCTTGCTGTTCTTGTTCTCGTCTCTGTTCTTTATTATTCCTGTAGTTGGTCTCGTCTCTGTTCGCTGTTCTTGTTCTCGTCTCTGTTGTTCTTTGTTATCTCTGTAGTTGGTCGTCTCTGTTCTTGCTGTTCTTGTTCTCGTCTCTGTTGTTCTTTGTTATCTCTGTAGTTGGTCTCGTCTCTGTTCTTACTGTTCTTGTTCTCGCCTCTGTTGTTCTTTGTTATCTCTGTAGTTGGTCTCGTCTCTGTTCTTACTGTTCTTGTTCTCGCCTCTGTTGTTCTTGTTATCTCTGTAGTTGGTCTCGTCTCTGTTCTTGCTGTTCTTGTTCTCGTCTCTGTTGTTTCTTTGTTATCTCAGTAGTTGGTCTCGTCTCTGTTCTTGCTGTTCTTGTTCTCGCCTCTGTTGTTCTTTGTTATCTCTGTAGTTGGTCTCGTCTCTGTTCTTGCTGTTCTTGTTCTCGTGTTTGTTATTCACCCCGACGTTGACCTTCTGAAGAAACGTATGACAAAACGAACCATGTAATAATTTTCTCGGTATGGTGACTCGCAGTACCGCTTACATAACCTAACCTAACCTAACCTAACAACAAAGAATGAGAGAGAGAGAGAGAGAGAGAGAGAGAGAGGGAGAGAGAGAGAGAGAGAGAATACGTACAAATTTTATCAGAAAAATTAGGTGTGAAACTTTAAGTGTTAAGAATCTCTATTAGGACATAAAGTCTCTCAGTATTGGGGCCTATTAGGACATAAAGTCTCTCAGTATTGGGGCCTATTAGGACATAAAGTCTCTCAGTATTGGAGGCCATTCCACCACACAAGTACAACAACACTTGACAGCCGCCTCCTTCCCCTCCGACAATCACACGTGGCTTTTACTATGTCGTCATATGAGCCTGGGGGAATGAAATAAGCTACTGTCAACACACACACACAGAGAACGATCTGGTAAAATTTCCGTCTCAAGAGGAACTTTCGGTAAACGATCCAACCTTTAGTGTTACACAATTATGTTTATATTGTAATGATATTGTATTTAGGGTTAAACTAAACTGAACTAAACTAAACGGTAATGAACTAAACTAAACCGTGCTTAACTAAACTACACTGTATTGAACTAAACTAAACGGTAATGAACTAAACGGTAATGAACTAAACTAAACCGTGCTTAACTAAACTACACTGTAATGAACCAAACTAAACGGTAATGAACTAAACTAAACCGTGCTTAACTAAACTACACTGTAATGAACCAAACTAAACGGTAATGAACCAAACTAAACTGTAATGAACCAAACTAAACGGTAATGAACCAAACTAAACTGTAATCAACCAAACTAAACTGTAATGAACCAAACTAATCGGTAATGAACCAAACTGAACATTAATGAACCAAACTAAGCATAATGAACCAAACTAAGCGGTAATGAACCAAACTACACTATATTAGAACCAAACTAAAAAGGGTAATAGATTCCAAACTAAGCTGTAATGAACCAAAAACTGACTGTAATGAACCAAACTAAACGGTAATGAACTAAACTAAGCGTGCTTAACTAAACTACACTGTAATGAACCAAACTAAACTGTAATGAACTAAACTAAACTGTAATGAACCAAACTAAACGGTAATGAACCAAACTAAACTGTAATGAACCAAACTGAACGGTAATGAACCAAACTAAACTGTAATGAACTAAACTAAACGGTAATGAACCAAACTAAACGGTAATGAACCAAACTAAACTGTAATGAACCAAAGTAAACGGTAATGAACCAAACTAAACTGTAATCAACCAAACTAAACTGTAATGAACCAAACTAATCGGTAATGAACTATAATATACAGGAAATAAAACGTTAAAGCTTACAATGTCTCACGTAGACAAAATGTGACACCATCTTCAACTCATATGAATTTAATGTTTTTCCTAGAATTATTCTCTACACTGACGTGGTGAACGAACAACACTGTGACGCTATTCTGACGTTAACAGTGTGACGTTATACAGTACTGACGTTAACAATGTGACGTTATACAATACTGACGTTAACAATGTGACGTTATACAATACTGACGTTAACAATGACAATAAAACAAAATAATCATCGAGTTTGTATATTGGAAAGACACCAACTAAACCCTGCGTGTGTGTGTGTGTGTGTGTGTGTGTGTGTGTGTGTGTGTGTGTGTGTGTGTGTGTGTGTGTGTGTGTGTGTGTGTATGTGTGTGTGTGTGTGTGTGTGTGTGTGTGACTGTGTGTGTGTGTGTGTGTGTGTGTGTGTGTGTGTGTGTGTGTGTGTGTGTGTGTGTGTGTGTGTGTTACGGTACCCACTAATACGTTTCATAAATAACTCTGTCTAACACATCTTTTCCTTCCTCTTTTTTTCGTTAAGAATTCCCTGAACATCGACACAACATTCACAAATTACTATACGAAATTCGCTTCAAACAAAAATTACTATTCAGTTACTGGGATGATTCACACAGCCACTAAAGTCTCGGTAAACTGCTGGTACAGGCTCTCTGTATAGTGCTGGTACAGAATCTCGGTATAGTGCTGGTACAGGCTCTCGGTAAAGTGCTGGTACAGGCTCTCGGTAAAGTGCTGGTACAGAATCTCGGTATAATGCTGGTACAGTTCCTTTCGGTATAGTGCTGGTACAGGCTCTCGGTATAGCGCTGGTACAGTTCCTCTCGGTATAGTGCTGGTACAGGCTCTCGGTATAGTGCTGGTACAGTCCTCTCGGAATAGTGCTGGTACAGGCTCTCGGTATAGTGCTGGTACAAATCCTCTCAGTATAGTGCTGGTACAGGCTGTCGGTATAGTGCTGGTACAGGCTCTCGGTAAAGTGCTGGTACAGATCCTCCCGGTATAGTGCTGGTACAGAATCTCGGTATAGTGCTGGTACAGTCCTTTTCGGTATAGTTGCTGGTACAGATCCTCTCGGTATGGTGCTGGCTACAGATCCTCTCGGTATAGTGCTGGTACAGAATCTCGGTATAGTGTTGGTACAGATCCCTTCAGTATATAGTGCTGGTACAGATCCTCTCGGTAGTGTTGGTACAGGTCCTCTCGGTATAGTGCTGGTGCAGACCCCCCAGTATAGTGCTGGTACAGGTCCTCGGTATAGTGCTGGTACAGTCCTCTCGGTATAGTGCTAGTACAGGCTCTCGGTATAGTGCTGGTGACAGTCCTCTCGGTATAGTGCTGGTACAGTCCTCTCGGTATAGTGCTAGTACAGGCTCGGTATAGTGCTGGTACAGGCTCTCGGTATAGTGCTGGTACAGGCCTTCAGTATAGTGCTGGTACAGGCTCTCGGTATAGCGCTGGTACAGTTCCTCTCAGTATAGTGCTGGTACAGGCTCGGTATAGTGCTGGTACAGGCTCGGTATAGTGCTGGTACAGATCCTCTCAGTATAGTGCTGGTACAGGCTCGGTATAGCGCTGGTAACAGTTCCTCTCAGTATAGTGCTGGTACAGGCCTCGGTATAGTGCTGGTACAGTCCTCTCGGTATAGTGCTGGTACAGGCTCGGTATAGTGCTGGTACAGTTCCTCTTGGTAGTGCTGGTACAGTTCTCTCGGTATAGTGCTGGTACAAATCCCTCAGTATAGTGCTGGTACAGGCCTCGGTATAGTGCTGGTACAGATCATCTCGGCTTCACCTTTTCAACGCTGGTCATACAATGAAAAGATTCCACGTAAGAAAATCGTAGTAAATGATGTCCGGAAAAAAATAGCTTCAATTACACTGACACTCTATCTTACCGACACTCGGGCCCAAGATTTATCGATGAGAGAGTGATAGAAAGAAACGGAGAGAGGAAAGAGATACTCAGAGTGAACCAGAGAGAAATAATGTTGAAGTTAGTTTGGGAAAGAAAGAGTGAGAGATTGTCAAAGAGTGAGAGAAATCTAGAAGAACAAAAAAGAGTAAAAACATCTTCTTACCACGCTCTTCAAAAAGTCTAGCTCGTCTATTTTACGTAACCTTAATCAGCTTAACCCACCTCTTGTCAGGATCTGTTTTGTTACGTTCATGATTTTATTCTCTGTTATGTGGAGTCAAGCATCGCTGAACTACCTGATGCGCACTATCCTCCCTACACCCCTCTGGAAGAAGCTATCGAGCATCAATTTCATTCCAAATTAGTGAAACATCTCACTTAACCCCAGCAGAAAGATCACTACTTGCACTACCACCGAGGCTGGAGGAATGGGATTGACCAATCCAGAGGAGATTGCTGCCACCAAACATCAAAACCCAGTTAACCTCACGGCAGCCCTCATGGACCACATAATAGCCCAGAAAGCAACAGGGGAGGTGGATACCAGTGAAGTAAACAAGATTAGAAGGTCCATTACGACAGAACGACAGCATGGCCAATTGATAAGTTGCAGCAACTGTTGCTCCAAGTACCAGAGATTTAAAATAAAAAGTAGCTACAGCGCAGGAGGTGGGCGCTCGAGCTGGTTAACTACGTTACCGATAAGGGCAATGGTTTCAGTCTTAACAAACAAGAATTTACAGATGCCAATGCTCTACGGTACGGTCGGCTAGTAGAAGGTTTGCCCCTCCCACGGTGTGGCTCTTCCTATGACGGCGATCACGCCATGGTGTAAGAAAGGGCTTCATATGCATGAGGCATGACGAAGTAAAGGGACCTACAGCAAAAAGCAAGGAAGGAAATCTGCCGGGATGTCATGTAGAACCGACCCTCCTTCCATTGATAGTGAGATCTTCCAACATAGGACTTCAACCCAGTCCTGATGCGTACATAGAGGAACGAGAACGACAAGAGAAGGGCGTATGGGAGAGAATCCAAAACATTGATCAAGGCAGCTTCACCCTCTAGTGTTCACAACCTGGTGGATGGGACCAAGTGCAAGATGTTTCTACGCAGACCTGCGGAGGTGATTCCAGTAGCAGCAGTCCAGAAGTTTCGTTACAGCCTGGATGAGATGTCGACTGTCCTTCTCTCCTCCTGGTCGGCTTTCTCCGCCTCAGGGGAACGAGAGCTTCTGCCCCAACTCCAACAACTGCCGCAGATATTGACATATGAGGCTACAGTCACTGAATGCCGCATAGATCTGCGGCTCAACTAATTTAACACAGATAGGATAGCTACTTGTATTAGGATATTAAATATTAAGGTAATTAAATGGTGGCGAAGGTGGCTATTGGGGAGGCTGGAGGCCACGTTATTAAAAAAAAAGTAGTAGTAGTGGTAGTAGTAGTAGTAGAGTTTGGGTGTTGTAGTAGTAATAGAGATCTGATGTATTAGTAGTATAGTAATAGTAGTAGTAGCACTATTAGTCTTATCATTACCAACATTAACATTATATAATGATAATTTCAACATAATTAAGATAATAAAATATAACACCACAGGTAAACGGGTTAAAATGTAATATTAGAAACAGAGAGAGTGATGTGAGTGTGTGTGTGTGTGTGTGTGTGTGTGTGTGTGTGTGTGTGTGTGTGTGTGTGTGTGTGTGTGCAAGGTTCCTTAATCACCACATAAACCTCAGCAGCCTCACCCAAAGGCAGGCAGGTCACGACATAAGCTCACAATAGAAGTCTTTGACGCCGTCGATAACACATCTTTAAGTAGTAAGAGAGAGAGAGAGAGAGAGCTACCGTTAGTGACGCACTTTATACCTCGTCTCTACTCTATAAGGGGGGCGGCTCTCCGGTCCCTTGACCTACGAATCTTTGATAAGTCAGGCATCCCAGGTTAATAAACTAGGGCTTATTGATTGATTCGTTCTTCTCTGTGAAAATAATTGAACTTGTTGGTGCACAACCTTTGATGAGTCGGTCTCAGTTTGCGTATGCGATATTTTTTGTTTTCTTTTTGTGGTGGAATGTTTATCGTCTCAATAACCAACAAATCAAGGATTTTTTAATCTGTTGTATTACGAATTACATATAGCATACTTTTTGTTTCTTTCTTTGATTAAAGAACGCCTCTCCACTTATTCATTCACCCCATCCACTAATCACCAAAATGACATAGACCACAAAAAAAAAAATGTTATTACTATGATTATTTCAGCATTACTGACTATGCTTTTATCACCCAGAGCTGAGAACCCTGTGCGTAGTTGTGAGGGGAACAAAGAGAAACTCCAATGTGAGGGAAGTGAAAGAAAATATATATTGAAGGATAGGTGTCAGTGGAAGCGTAGGAGGTTATGAAATAATTCCGATTCCCATCAGTATTCACCCAAATATATGATACATGGTGGGGGAACGACATACACCACACGTGATGGTGGGGCATGCTTACACCATACAGATGGTGGAAATACTAAATCGTAAAATAATCAATAATTCTCTCATATACATGCTCTCACTTGATAAGAAAATACTTAATCCCCCTCATACCAAGGAAATTAAACTCGTCTGGGGTGTACTCAACACAAGAGGTGTATTCAACAATGTTTACATTCACGTAATACCTACATCAAGATCACTCCTATACCATCTTTCCACTTAACCGGCACAAGCACAAGGGCCTCCAAGGCGTGAATTTGTTTAAGGTAAGAAGCTGTCGCCAACACAACAAACCACACCCTGTTAACGAGCTGCATGACCCAGTCGTCAAGAATAGTCCGAGAAGACTGGACAACTCGCCAACTGCACTGGCTAACCATTACCCCCGGAGCACGAACAACAAATCGATTAACATCCAGGACCCAATCACATGCTGGGTAGACAGAGGCAAATAGCAAAGAACTCTGCCTATAGGATCACCCTGCCCGGGATCGAACTCAGGTTCACTAGCTTGCGAGGTGAGCATGCTGACCATTACACCACAGATACAAATAGCTGATTGGTTCCCTGAGCGTCTTATCGCCCCCAGGACTGCGCGTGTATAAGCGCGTATTTATACGACCTTTTATGATAAGTTATTAAACATTTCTTGACATCCTCTCTGAAGTGCTAATACCTTAGAAATCATTTTGCATTTTGATAGTTTAGATATTTAACATTGTTTTAGATAATAACAGATCTGCTTAACAATTATGAACAGTTTGAATTTTCTATGAACCAATCAGCTATTTGTATAGAAAAGAGGCGTGGCTTACGGGCCAGAATAGCGTGGAAATACTATAGCTTATTTTACCATAACCCAACCTAACCAAACTTAACCCACAATTAACTTAACCAAACTTAACCAAATCCTAACCCAATCTAACCACACACCAAACCCAACTTAACAATCTAACATAACATACGCCAGGACGGCTAATTCGAGCGATATAAGCTGGAGGGGTTTAATCTTCGGTGATCCGAGATACCATGTATATATATCGCACCAAATATTCTGGAGGTATTTTATTACAAAACGATATTGTGATGCTGACCTTTGACCTCAACCGTTAAAAATGAAGAGATGGTGTTCTGTGTAAAGTCTGTGTCAACTTAACATATAGATTTTGGGAAAGTATCGTGTACAGTATACGTTTAGTGGACACTGAATATACTGTGATATATTATGCCTGAATTTCATGTACTGTGTGGCAACAATTTTTAGTAGCATACAAGTGATCAAGGGCCCTTTGTGCCGGTGAAAGTTTGAACGCTTGTGACAGCGTACAGCGAATGAGGGTGCGCCAAGTCCATAGACTTGCATCGTTTTCCAGTGTAAATAAATGGTTAATTAATGCCTTCCTAAAGAAAACCATCGACATGGGACCAGGTTTGTTCCACTCTACGAATTTTTTGCGATTTTCCACCAAGTTTGATGAAAAACGATTGTGCCAGCTTGGCTGCCCAGAACAGACAGACAGACACACACACGGCTATTCCTATAGTATATTAGATTAGAACACGTGACTTTGACTACTGACTCCCTGACCTTCACAAATTAGTATGTTGTATGTATTATCAGGAAGAGTTTGGTCACTCCGAGATCCTATCACCCGTCACAGAACGCCTCTGGTGTTTACTCAATACGCACGCAGCAGCTTCTACCTGCTCATGGCCAGGCATCTACTCTTCAGACGATGTGCAGGTGAGTCACACGTCTTCCACCGTCAGTTGAGAACCAGAAGGAAAGTAGCCAAGAGCTTATTGTGTCAGACCATTTTCGCCGTGTGCTTCCTGCCAACGCACGTCTTTCTCTTGTGGTTCTACTTTGACCCTCAGGCCAGTGGATGTGTATTCTCCCATGCTAGCCCATGCGTATAATGGACAGACAGCTGTCATGCTTAGGCTGGCTGACGACATAACGTTGTTATCACCTCTAAGAAATATCAACAAATTGATCCGTGACTTATGGTCGCTAAATACGTAACCGAACGAAGCACACTGAT